AGCCAGGATTGGTTTGGAAAAGAGGGGCGGAGTTAGCCAGATGGAGGGAAAGAGAGCAGCTTAACTTGGAGTTTGAGAAGAGAGTAGTTCTGAGTAGAGTAGAGAGCAGTTCAGTTCTGAGAGAGAGATTAGAGTAGGATTTGGATGTATTAGGAGTTCGTTATTAGAATAGGCAGTTTGCCTGGAGTTTGTACAGTGAAAATAGGCTGTGACAAACTGGTTACAGCTATTTTAGGGAAAAATAGCTGGGTTTTGTGTTTAAGAAATTGTAACAAAGGAAAGAACCATTCTCTCAAGTAACCATTACGCTTCTAAGAAACAAGAACACTTTTATTTGTAACAGCCAAGCCTCTGAACCTGCATTCACTTTTATTCTGTAACTTGTAGTTAATAAACTCTTTCTTTTTATTTTTAAAACTTAAGCCTGAGTCCAGTGCCATTTTTGGTTGGAGTCCTTTTCTTCGTTGAATCAACCTCTCCATTTTTTCCCCTCAAAGAAAGCCCTTGTTATTACACAGTATTTGGTGGAGTAAAAAAGCCTTTTAATAATTTAAACAGCCTTTTAACATTCTAAATAGCTAGAGGGTTCGTTATTCTTCAGTTTATGGTGGCAGCGAAGGTTTTACATAACGAGACATCCCCTCAAACCCTATAAGAGTCAAAGTGGTGTGAATTCCTTATTGAAGGAGGGACAGTGGTGGGATTATTTGACCCCCCTGCCCAGACGGCCTTAAGGAGGTTATTATAAGTGACATACAGGGAGCACACCACCCCCCTGCTATGCCAGCTCCACTGGCTGCTGGTTCAATTCCGAGCACAATTCAAGGTGCTGGTTTTAACCTACAAAACCCTGTACGGTTCCGGTCCAGTGTATCTGTCCGAACGTATCTCCCTTTACGTCCCACCTCGGAGTTTGAGATCATCTGGGGAGGCCCTGCTCTCGACCCCACCACTGTCACACGTGAGGCTGGTGGGGACGAGAAGCAGGGCCTTCTCAGTGGTGGCCCCTCACCTGTGGAACTCACTCCCGGGGGAAATCAGAGCATCACCATCCCTCCTCTCCTTCAGGAGGAGGGTGAAGACATGGTTGTGGAACCAGGCCTTTGGGCAACCAGGCAATTAAATAAGACAATTAAATAAAACAATCAGATGTGCAAGATCAGCAGGATTGTCGAAGTGGAATCAAAAATAGATCTATGAGTTAGTGTACACTGATAGGTAGGAGGAAGAATTAGATTTGTATTGATTTTAGGGATGAACGAAAAAGTGGGAAATGGGGTAAAAGTATTAGGCCTATATAACAAACCTAAACAGGGGGAATCTGGGGAATGTCTAGGCCAGTGATGGGCAACCTTTTGAGCTTGGTGTGTCAAAATTCGCAACAGCTTTTTGGGATAAGATATTTTTTTTTAAAAAAAAATAATAATGGGGAAACTAATCAAAATAACAATTCAGGTTATTTATTTTTATTTATTTCTCGTGTTAGGGCAGCCAGTCAATTATATTACATTTCTAACAGAACAAAAGTTCTGAGAGTGCCTTGGACTGCGAGAAGATCCAACCAGTCCATCCTCCAGGAAATAAAGCCCGACTGCTCACTGGAGGGAAAGATACTAGAGACAAAGTTGAAGTACTTTGGCCACATCATAAGGAGACAGCAAAGCCTGGAGAAGACAATGATGCTGGGGAAAGTGGAAGGCAAAAGGAAGAGGGGCCGACCAAGGGCAAGATGGATGGATGGCATCCTTGAAGTGACTGGACTGACCTTGAGGGAGCTGGGGGTGGTAACGGCCGACAGGGAGCTCTGGCGTGGGCTGGTCCATGAGGTCACGAAGAGTCGGAGACGACTGAACGAATGAACAACAACAACAACAGAACAAAGCAAACAAAAAGAGTTTGGTAGTTGGTTAAATGTCCTTTGACCAGTCTCTGGCCACTTGGAGTGCTTCTGGTGTTGCTGCAAGAAGGTCCTCCATGGTGCATGTGGCAGGGCTCAGGTTGCATTGCAGCAGGTGGTCAGTGGTTTGCCCTTCTCCACACTCGCATGTCGTGGATTCCACTTTGTGGCCCCATTTCTGAAGGTTGGCTCTGCATCTCGTGGTGCCAGAGCGCAGTCTGTTCAGCGCCTTCCAAGTCGCCCAGTCCTCTGTGTGCCCAGGGGGGAGTCTCTCATTTGGTATCAGCCATTGGTTGAGGTTCTGGGTTTGAGCCTGCCACTTTTGGACTCTCGCTTGCTGAGGTGTTCCAGCGAGTGTCTCTGTAGATCTTAGAAAACTATTTCTAGATTTAAGTGGTTGACGTGCTGGCTGATACCCAAACGGGATGAGCTGGAGATGTCTCTGCCTTGGTCCTTTCACTATTGGCTGCCAACTTCCTGGCGGATGTCAGGTGGTGCAATACCGGCTAAGCAGTGTAATTTCTCCAGTGGTGTAGGGCGCAGACACCCCATGATAATGCGGCATGTCTCATTAAGAGCCACATCCACTGTTTTAGCATGGTGAGATGTGTTCCACACTGGGCATGCATACTCAGCAGCAGAGTAGCATAGCGCAAGGGCAGATGTCTTCACTGTGTCTGGTTGTGATCCCCAGGTTGTGCCAGTCAGCTTTCGTATGATATTGTTTCTAGCACCCACTTTTTGCTTGATGTTCAGGCAGTGCTTCTTGTAGGTAAGAGCATGGTCCAGAGTGACTCCCAGGTATTTGGGTGCGCTGCAATGCTCCAGTGGGATTCCTTCCCAGGTGATCTTCAGAGCTCGGGATGCTTCTCTGTTCTTGAGATGAAAGGCACATGTCTGTGTTTTAGATGGGTTGGGGATCAGCTGGTTTTCCCTGTAATAGGCAGTAAGAGCACCTAGAGCTTCGGAGAGCTTCTGTTCTACCATCTCAAAGCTCCCTGCTTGAGCAGTAATGGCACGATCATCAGCATAGATGAAACTCTCTGTCCCTTCTGGCAGTGGCTGGTCATTTGTGTAGATGTTGAACATGGATGGAGCAAGCACGCTCCCCTGAGATAGGTCGTTCTGTTTCCGCCATCTGATTCTTTCGCCCTGGTACTCAACAAAAAAGCTCCTGTTTTGTAGCAGATTTCCTATGAGGCGGGTGAGGTGGTCGTCCTTTGTGATATTATACATTTTTCTCAGGAGGATGCAGTGGTTCACAGTATCATAGGAAGCAACCAGCATGCAAACAATTCAGGTCAACATGGAACTTATGTTAATGGCAACTATAGGGAATTCTTCTCACCAAAGAAGAATTCAAACAAATAGCCAACACCTGTAGGGAAAAGGTCCGCAAGGCTAAAGCACAAAACGAGATCAGGCTTGCCAGGGACATTAAAAACAATAAAAAGGGCTTCTTTTCTTATGTCAGTAGAAAAAGGGAAAACAAGGAGGCGATTGGGCCTCTTCGAGGAAAAGATGGGGCAATGCCGACAGGGGATGATAGGGAAAAGGCAGAACTACTTAATGCCTTCTTTGCCTCGGTCTTCTCACTAAAAGAAGGTCATCTTCAACCTCAGCAAGATGGAGTGGATGAGGGATTAGAGGACATCCAACCCCAAATTGGGAAACAAGTTGTCCAGGAATACCTGGCCGCTCTAAATGAGTCCAAGTCCCCTTTCAGGGCCAGATCAACTACACCCAAGAGTACTGAAGGAACTAGCGGAACTCATCTCGGAACCCTTGGCAACCATCTTTGAGAGTTCTTGGAGAACGGGAGAAGTTCCAGCAGATTGGAGGAAGGCCAATGTGGTCCCAATCTTCGAGAAGGGAAAAAAGGATGACCCAAACAATGACCAATGTCCGGTCAGCCTCACGTCGAAACCAGGCAAGATTCTGGAAAAGAGTGTTAAGGAAGTGGTCTGCAAACACTTAGAAACCAATGCGGCCATCATAAATCCAACATGGATTTATCAAAAACAATTCATGCCAGACTCATCTGATCAAAATAACAATTTCCGCCACGCAGGAAAGGCACAGCCAAAGCACCCCCAACAGATGGCTGTGGGGAAGTCGCTTTGGGGATGAGAGGGCTGAAGGAGAAGGGCTTTTGGTGGACTGGGAGCGGCGTAAGGGTGGGGCGCCGCAAGGTTTTCTGACTTCCTGGGCACTTTCCCCTTTCTAATCTTTGTATTCTTCTTTCATTGACAGAATACCAAAAAGCTGTAGCCGAACTGAGGGTGGAACCCCTGGAACTATATAAAAAAGCTTTGCTCCTGAGAGCGAAGTGGGGCATCATTGAAAACTCGATAGAAGAAAGTCTGCCCTCCACCTCAACAAGAAATGATGCCCCCCCTCCCAATCAAAAAAATAACCGTTCCTTGGCAAGCAGGATAAGGAAGACACTTTGCAGAATTGTGGCCTGCATCTGCCCATGTTATGCTCCACCACCGCGGTGTCACATATGTGAAGATTTACAACACATGAAGAATAATCAGGAATGCGGTGGACTGGAGGACTTCTGGTAGCGGCAGCATGACGACCGCAACGGCTTGCTGAAGCTCCGTAGACTTCAACACTCCGTTCCTTCCACGCAACCCTTGGTAGAGCGGGGGTTATCCCCCAGCTCCCCCCAACCCGGCAGCTTCATAGGCATCCAAGCACCCCAGGAGATCTGTGAAAATGGCGAGCCAAACTGCCTTCCTATAGGCCTGTTTCTTTTTTGTTTGGGAATTGCTTTGGCCTTTGCGATCCCTAAATTTTACGCCATCTTTAGGAGGAGGAACATCAGAAGAGGAGGAGGAGGAGGCCACCATCGCTCCCTTCAGCGAATGGCTGTGTAACCAGGATTTTCTCTTTTCCTGGCAGATGAACATCTTTTGTGGAACAATGGAGGAGAGAGCATCGCTTGGAGGAGAACTACAAACGGAGGAGAAGGAAGGGAAGGAGGGGGAGAAACAACAGAAGAGGAGGAGGAGGAGGCCACCATCACTCCCTTCGTGAATTGCTGTGTATCCGGGGGTTTCCCTATTCCTGGCAGATTAACATCATTTGTGGTATAATGGAGGAGAGAGCAGTGCTTGGAGGAGAACACCAAACGGAGAAGGAAGATATGGGGGAAGAGAAGGAGGAAGACCTAGAGGAAGTATTTGGTTCTTATTCCTTCTCTGCTGGACAACTGGCCCCTGCAAAGGCCTCTGGGGTGGGAATGCCAGAACCAGGGTTCCAGAGTGGGGCTATGGGGCCACCATCCCTCTCTTCAGCAAATGGCTGTGTAACCAGGAATTTCTCTTTTCCTGGCAGATTAACACCTTTTGTGGGACAATGGAGGAGTGAGCAGCACTTGGAGGAGAAGAACAAACGGAGGAGAAGGAAGGGAAGGAGGAGGAGGAAGAACAGAATCATGAGGAGGAGGAGGAGGCCACCATCGCTCCCTTCGGTGAATTGCTGCGTAACCAGGGCTTTCTCTTTTCCTGCCAGATTAACATCTTTTATTTATTTATTTATTTATTTCATTCACTTATACCCCGCCCTTCTCACCCCTAGGGGGACTCAGGGCGGCTTACATAAAGGGCACAATTAGATGCCCAAAACATACAACAAGCAAGCCAAAGTATAAAATTCAACAGTTAAGTTAAACAACAATACATAATAAAAGCATAAATCCTAAAACAATCTCATGTCAGAGTTCATATATCAGAGTCCATACATCCGTTCTATTCCGTTTATCATTGTCTGTCTCCGGTCCTTGGTTTAATTATCAGAGTGGCCAAAAGCTTGGTCCCATATCCAGGTCTTTAGTTTTTTCCTAAATGCTAGGAGGGAAGTCGCCGATCTAATCTCCCCGGGGAGTGCGTTCCACAGGCGGGGGGCCGCCACTGAGAAGGCCCTGCTCCTCGTCCCCGCCAGCCTCACTTGCGATACTGGCGGGGTCAAGAGCAGGGCCTCCCCAGAAGATCTTAAACTTCGAGGTGGGACGTAAAGGGAGATCCGTTCGGACAAATACACTTTTGTGATATAATGGAGAAGTCAGGAAGAATGGGACAAGGAAGATATGGGGGAAGAGAAGGAGGAAGACCTTGAAGAAATATTGGTTCTTATTCCTTCTCTGCTGGACAACTGGCCCCTGCAAAGGCCTCTGGGGTGGGAATGCCAGAAGCAGGGTTCTAGAGTGGACCAATGGGCCACCATCGCTCTCTTTGGCGAATGGCTGTGTAACCAGGGGTTTCTCTTTTCCTGGCAGATTAGCATCTTTTGTGGGATAACGGAGGAGAGAGCAGCACTTGGAGTAGAAGAACAAACGGAGGAGAAGGAAGGGAAGGAGGAGGAGGAACATCAGAAAGAGGAGGAGAAGGAAGGGAAGGAGGAAGATAAACAACAGGAGGAGGAGGCCACCATCGCTCCCTTCGGTGAATGGCTGAGTAACCAGGGGTTTCTCTTTTCCTGGCAGATTAACATCTTTTGTGGCATAATGGAAGAGGAAGCACAGCTTAGAAAAGAAAGTCCACCTCCTCCTCCTCCTCTCTGGCCCAGAACCCTTCGGGGAAGAATAGCCCACACTTTTGGAAACCATTGGTAAGTCAGGCCATGCCATTTCTTAAGGGCTATGAGAGAGAGCAGAGCTCGTTGTCCATTGTGCCGAGGGAAGGTAACTAGCCTCATAGGCATCCAAGCACCCCAGGAGATCTGTGAAAATGGCGAGCCAAACTGCCTTCCTATAGGCCTGTTTCTTTTTTGTTTGGGAATTGCTTTGGCCTTCACGATCCCTAAATTTTACGCCATCTTTAAAAATCGCGAAGGCAACAAGTTTAGAGAACACCAGATAATACTCCCGATTATTGCCGTGAAATCAAGAAGTCCAGGACCACCACACAAAAGCAGGTCGAGAAGCAAGAAGCGTGTCAACATGCGATCCCAAAGTCGGAGAAAGAGAATATAAAGTAAGTTGGTTCTTATTCCAGACACCGGCCATGGCTTCCCATCGGCTCCCGTTCCTCGCCGCTGCCTTCGCCCACCTGGCACTGCCTTCCCTCTTAGGCAACCAACCATGCCAGGATACCTGTGATCCACTCCTGCTAGCCGTACCACGTCATGAGATCCTGACGCCCTGACTGACTGGTTCTTATTCCTTCTCTGCTGGACAACTGGCCCTTGCAAAGGCCTCTAGGGTGGGAATGCCAGAACCAGGGTTCCAGAGTGGACCAATGGGCCACCATCGCTCCCTTCAGCGAATGGCTGTGTAACCAGGAATTTCTCTTTTCCTGGGAGATTAACATCTTTTGTGGGATAATGGAGGAGTGAGCAGCACTTGGAGGAGAATTACAAACGGAGGAGAAGGAAGGGAAGGAGGAGGAGGAAGAACAGAATCATGAGGAGGAGGAGGAGGAGGCCACCATCGCTCCCTTCGGTGAATGGCTGTGTATGCGGGGGTTTCTCTATTCCTGGCAGAGTAACATCTTTTGGGAAATAATGGAGGAGAGAGGAAGAACTGAAGAAGGAAGATATGGGGGAAGAGAAGGAGGAAGACCTTGAAGAATTATTGGTTCTTATTCCAAACACCGGCCATGGCTTCCCATTGGCTCCCGTTCCTCGCCGCTGCCTTCGCCCTCCTGGCACTGCCGTGCTTTTGGGCCGAGGAAGAACACGAGATCCCGACGCCCTGCCCGCAGCCCCCGGCCACCCACTCCTGCTGCCCCTCCCACGTCATGTTCATCCTCGGAGGGTGCTGCGGCCTGGCCGCTTCCATCGTTATCAGGAGCCTACAAAAAGCGGAAGCAGGCCAGGAAGAAGTTGGTCCAGCTACCAGAACAAATTAAGACAACACTTTGCCACCTCGGAACGACGGGAGGAAAAACCACGTCAAAGTCGAGCAGAGCCTCTGCAATCTCAGTGGGGCTCCACTGAAGGCTAACTGAAGAAAGTCTGCCCCCCCCCCCCCCGAAGGAATTTTGCCTCCTCCTCCCATCAAAAACATCACCGTTCCTTGAGAAGCAGAATAAGTAATACTGTTCGCAGAATCAGGGCACACATCTGCCCGTGTTGTCTTTCTGCACCAAACACGTCCGGGTGAGATATGATGGGAAGCCCCTAAGAAGCCAGCCCCAGCAATGACCGGGTAGAGCTTTAGCTCCCTTCTCCAGGTGGATTGGAACCAGGAGAACTACAGAGCCCACAGGGTGGAAGACCGATGATCCAAAACCCTGCATCCCCTTCAAGAGAAGTGGTGGAACGGGTCCGACCAGTACATCCACTGGGCACAGTGGGTCATGCGGAGGCGAATTGAGATCCTTGCATCTACGACCAACTGCTAGCCGATCTCATTGGAAAAGCAAGAACAGAGAAAAGCGGACTTGGCCTGCTCTTCTCAATGGCCCTGTGTGGCTTCTGCCAGCCTCTCCCTCTGTCTAGCTATATGCCTCTTAACCCTTACCTAAAAGGGATCGTCTGGGTGTGAGATTCCTTCCGATTTTGGAACAGTTCCCTTTGCATTGTCCACAGTGATAAAGGAAGGAAGGCTTGGGGGGCAAGAGGGCTGATGGGGAAAGGCTTTTGTCAGCAAGGGTGGCAGGGGAGCAGGAAAGAGGAGGGGAAGTTTGGAGGGTGAGGAAGAGGAAATAGCACAGAAAGAGGGAAGGAAAGAAGGTGGTGCTAGGCCCTGACAGAGGTGGCCGCGGAGGGACGTTGTTTTGGAAAGGCCGGCAATCAAGGAAAGTAGGATAAAATGGGCATCAAACATTGGAAGAGGAATAAAACTCAATGAATGGGAAAAACTATGGACCAAGAAGATCAAGTACACATACTCGACAGATCTAAAGGAGAATCAGATCAAAATGATATATAGGTGGTACATGACCCCTCAAAAACTTAGAAGAAGAAGAAAAGTAATATTAAGAGTACAATAGAAGTGGAGTGGAAATTTTCCTACAAGCAAAAGGAAACAGAAGAATAGAGGGAAAATGGAGAAGAAGACTGGAAGCCGACGAAACCCCCCCCCTTCTCACCTTACTCCTACCACCCCCATCCTTTGTAGACCCTGCACCTCCCCCTCCCTTCCCTACTCCCCCTATTTTGGAATTCTATGTATAGACTTGGCCAAACAGTACCCCAACCCCCCCCCCCCGGTTTTATGTATAAGCTAAAGAGAAAATGTATTTAATAAAAATTATTTTTTTAAAAATGAGAAGCAACACATTAAAACAAAAAACAAAAAAAACAACTGGAGCCCCCAAACACCGGCCATGGCTTCCCATCGGCTCCCGTTCCTCGCCACTGCCTTCGCCCCCTGGGTAGCCGAACTGCCTTCCCTGGTAGCCAGGGGTGGCCCTAGGTAATTTTCAATGGTAAGCAAACATTATTTTGGCGCCCCCTCCCCCCAACCCATCACTGAAAAATAAAACGTAGAAGGTAGAGGTGAATAAAGAGTTACCTTTGTTGCGTAATAATAATGGCCAGAGAAACCTTGTCGCCATGGAGTCATACTGCCCTGTAAGTCAGATAATGCCAAGACACCATGGCTAGCGGTCACTCGGAACAGCAATCCCAACAGCCCACGACGACAGATAGCCCTAGAAGAGGGGTTCCCAAACTAAGGGCTTCCGGGCAAGGCAAGGAGTCTTCCCTGGTAGCCGAACGGCAAGGTCCAACACCCTGCCCGCAGTCCCCGGCCATCCACTCCTGCTAGCCGTACCACGTCATGAGATCCCGATGCCCTGACTGGGAAATGTATTGGTTCTTATTCCTTCTCTGCTGGACAACTGGCCCTTGCAAAGGCCTCTAGGGTGGGAATGCCAGAACCAGGGTTCCAGAGTGGACCAATGGGCCACCATCGCTCCCTTCAGCGAATGGCTGTGTAACCAGGAATTTCTCTTTTCCTGGCAGATTAACATCTTTTGTGGGACAATGGAGGAGTGAGCAGCACTTGGAGGAGAAGAACAAACGGAGGAGAAGGAAGGGAAGGAGGAGGAGGAAGAACAGAATCATGAGGAGGAGGAGGAGGAGGCCACCATCGCTCCCTTCGGTGAATGGCTGTGTATCTTGAGGTTTGATCAAGAAAAAATTTGTTTCTAAAATCGATTTGTAATTGGGGTGTTTTTTTGTTTCGATATTTAAAATAATTACAAAACTTTCCCCCAAAAAAGTTTTGGTATTTACGAAATTTCGTAAATATTAACGAATTTTTAGACTATTTTTTGTATTTTTTAAGAATAATATTAAAATGGAAAATTAACCAAAAAATGGCCCAAATGTGGACCAAACACAGGCAGGAGACAGCAAATGAGAGCACACACCAACAGAAGAGTCTTTTCTTTTTTAGAATATTTTTTAAGAATAATATTAAAATAATATTAAAAAATAATATTAAAATAATATTAAAAAATATTTTAAAATGGAAAATTAACCAAAAAATGGCCCAAATGTGGACCAAACACAGGCAGGATACAGCAAATGAGAGCACACACCAACAGAAGAGTCTTTTCTTTTTTAGAATATTTTTTAAGAATAATAATAAAAAGTCTATTCTTTTTTAGAATATTTTTTAAGAATAATATTAAAATAATATTAAAAAATAATATTAAAATAATATTAAAATATTTTAAAATGGAAAATTAACCAAAAAATGGCCCAAATGTGGACCAAACACAGGCAAGAGACAGCAAATGAAGCAAGCAGCACTCACAGCAGCAAGGAATGAATCCAATCCGAGTTGCTAGAGCAGCCATTGCCAAGCCAACCCAATGCAAACTCCCTCGCCCTCTTGAAGCAACGGGCCGGGCGGAGCTGCTTTGAAAGGGCTCGCCGGCCAATCAAAAACAGGCAGCCACGGACCCATGGTGGTGCACTGTTTGGGAGCGCCGGATTGGCTCCCATGCACCAGCACTCCAGCAGCCTCCACCCCATTAACGAAACGAGCGGAGGCTCGTTAAAACTCTGGGGGCTGCTGGTTCGATATTTAAAAACCCTTCCGGGTTTGGGAATATGCTTCAATATCGCTTCGGAAATGGTAAAATTAACGAATTAATAACGAAATAACGAATTAACGAACGAAACCGCACAGGCCTAGTAACCAGGGGTTTCTCTTTTCCTGGCAGATTAACATCTTTTGTGGGATAACGGAGGAGTGAGCAGCACTTGGAGGAGAAGAACAAACGGAGGAGAAGGAAGGGGAGAAGGAGGAGGAACATCAGAAGAGGAAGAGGAGGAGGCCACCATCGCTCCCTTCGGTGAATTGCTGTGTATCCGGGGGTTTCCCTATTCCTGGCAGATTAACATCATTTGTGGGATAATGGAGGAGAGAGCAGTGCTTGGAGGAGAACACCAAACGGAGAAGGAAGATATGGGGGAAGAGAAGGAGGAAGACCTAGAGGAAGTATTGGTTCTTATTCCTTCTCTGCTGGACAACTGGCCCCTGCAAAGGCCTCTGGGGTGGGAATGCCAGAACCAGGGTTCCAGAGTGGGGCTATGGGGCCACCATCCCTCTCTTCAGCGAATGGCTGTGTAACCAGGAATTTCTCTTTTCCTGGCAGATTAACATCTTTTGTGGGATAATGGAGGAGAGGGAAGAAAGGCAGCAAAAAGTGATGGAGGAGGCGCTGGAATTAGGTGGGCCTATGAGAACTGCGGCTAATGAAAAACAGGAACATGCTGGCCATCCCCCTCCCCACCCCCAAAAATAAAGCCTGAGTGACTGGGATTGACTGGGAATCCTAATAGTCCTGTTGTGTCGCTCCAACCAGGGGTTTCTCTTTTCCTGGCAGATCAACATCTTTTGTGATGTATGGAGGAGAGATGAAGAACTGAAGAAGGAACATATGAGACAGCTAGAGAGCGTGTGGCGGAAAGAGCCCAGCAAGCCAAATCGAACACACCTACGCCTTTATCTAAGGGCGCATGGCGCGGCAATAGAGGCCATGCAAAATGCTTTCTATTCGGCCAATATTGGTCCTTATTCCTTCTCTGCTGGACAACTGGCCCCTGCAAAGGCCTCTGGGGTGGGAATGCCAGAACCAGGGTTCCAGAGTGGGGCTATGGGGCCACCATCGCTCCCTTCGGTGAATGGCTGTGTAACCAGGAATTTCTCTTTTCCTGACAGATTAACATCTTTTGTGATATAATGGAGGAGTCAGGAAGAATGGGAAAAGGAAGATATGGGGGAAGAGAAGAAGGATCTCAACAGGAAGCAGAATTGATTCTTAACCTGACTAAGAGCCATTCATGCCTCGGAAAAGTCATCTGGAAAATCAAGAGCATTTTTTCCAATCTCTGGGCAAGTGAATATACGGGGAACATTGGTGAATGTGAAAACATATGAATAAAAGGCAGTGCAATCAACTGACTGATTTTGGAACTTGGAAGAATAGCCCACACTTTTGGAAACCATTGGGCCCGTGTCCAACCTTCATGTTTATCCTCCTCCTCTAACAGAAACCACCATCCAGCAGGGATCGGATGTGCGGGGAGGAAGAAGTGGCCGAAAGGAAGGCAGGAGAAAAGAAAGAAGACAAGAGATAATGAGAAAGCCACACAAACAGAAGAAAACAGGAGCCAGACCCAATTTGGAAACAGGAGGCAGAACCGCTGCTCTATAGCATGGCACACACATTTGGACCTTGGAGCAGAACTGGGCCACCAGTAGGATGACCAGTTTTCTCAACCTTCCTAATGCAGCAACCCCTTAATACAGTTCCTCATGTTGTGGTGATCCCAAACCATAAAATTTTTGTTGTTGCTACTTCATAACTGTCATTTTGCTACTGTTATAAATCGTAATGTCAATATCTGATATGCAGGATGTATTTTCATTCACTGGACCAAATTTGGCACAAATACTCCATACGCCCACATTTGAATACTGGTGGGGTTGGAGGGACGGGGTTGATTTTGTCATTTGGGAGCACTGTGGACTCAAACAATGATGGATCTGGACCAAGCTTGGCACGAATACTCGATATGCCCAAATGTGAACACTGGTGGAGTTTGGGGAAAATAGACCTTGACACTTGGGTAGTTGTAGTTGCAGGGATTTATAGTTCACCTACAATCAAAGAGCATTCTGAACTCCAGCAACGCTAGAATTGGGCCAAACTTCCCACACAGAACCCCCATTGACCCAACAGAAAATATTGGAAAAATTGGTTTTGTCATTTGGGAGTTGTAGTTCTTGGGATTTATAGTTCACCTACAATTAAAGAGCATTCCGAACTCCACCAATGATGGAATTGAACCAAAGGTGACACACAGGACTCTCATGACCAACAGAAAACACTAGAAGGGTTTGGTGGGCATTGACCTTGAGAGTTGTAGTTCACCTACATCGAGAGACCACTGTGGACTCAAACAATGAAGGAACTGCACCAAACTTGGCACAAATATTCCATATGCCCAAACATGAACACAGATGGAGTTTGGGGGAAATAGACCTTGACATTTGGGAGTTGTAGTTGCAGGGATTTATAGTTCCCCTACAATCAAGAGCATTCTGAACCCCACAAACGACAGAATTGGGGTAAACTTCCCAGACCCCCCATTGACCCAACAGAAAATACTGTGCTTTCTGATGGTCTTTGGCGACCCCTCCGAGTTTGACATCCCCTCACAACCCCCCAGGGGTCCCTAACCCCCAGGTTGACAAACACTGATCTAGGCATTCCTAGAAAGAAATTTTCAATTACATTCCCAAAGAATGAAATCAGAACTGCAGCCTTAGCCCTGTGGATACTTTCCTGCCCTTCAAGGTGACCCAGGTATTCACCGCCTGTCGGAAAGGAATTCAAGCTTTGCATTCATCTCATAATTACACAGGATTGTTAAAATAAGTTCCCATGCCTAGCTCAAAAATGTGCCTTGGCTGGCTTTGGACTGTAAAAAAGGTGGTCAGGCTGAAGCCGGTGTCAGAGGAAGGAGAAGGAGAAGAGTGGCGTAAGGTCTGTAGGACTTGCGCGGCACTAATTCAGACCACCAGTTCTTCTCAGGAGGGTCTGGTAAGCTCTAATACATTTCTATTTTGCAACCACTTTACCCTTCTCCACCAAATTTTGCAGTCCCCTCATTGTACTACAGCTCCCGGGATTCCATAGCATTGAGTCATGACAGTTACAATCATGTCAAACTGCAGTAATCCTATAGCGTCGATACATCCTCAGCTTTTAGTTGGATGGCGGGGGAGAAAAGCTGCGGATGGATCCATTTATTTTTCTTGTTCATCTATATAAATAAAAATGTAATGTTCATTGTGGGATTAACAGAACTCAAAAACCAGTGGGTAAATTGACACCAAATTTGGACAGCATACACCTAACAACCCAATGTATGTCCTTCACTCAAAAAAAAATTGGTTTTGTCATTTGGGAGTTGTAGTTCTTGGGATTTATAGTTCACCTACAATCAAAGAGCATTCTGAACTCCCCAACGATAGAATTGGGCCAAACTTCCCACACAGAACCCCCATGACCAACAAAAAATACTGTTCTTTCTGAGGGTCTTTAGCAACCCCTCTGATATCCCCTCACAACCCCCCAGGGGTCCCTAACCCCCAGGTTGACAAACACTGATCTAGACATTCCTAGAAAGAAGTTTTCAATTACATTCCCAAAGAATGAAATCCAAACTGCAGCCTTAGCCCTGTGGATACTTTCCTGCCCTTCAAGGTGACCCAGGTATTCACCGCTGGTCGGAAAGGAATTCAAGCTTTGCATTCATCTCATAATTACACAGGATTGTTAAATTAAGTTCCCATGCCTAGCTCAAAAATGTGCCTTGGCTGGCTTTGGACTGTAAAAAAGGTGGTCAGGCTGAAGCCGGTGTCAGAGGAAGGAGAAGGAGAAGAGCGGCATAAGGTCTGTAGGACTTTCGCGGCACTAATTCAGACCACCAATTCTTCCCAGGAGGGTCTGGTAAGCTCTAATACGTTTCTATTTTGCAACCACTTTACCCTTCTCCACCAAATTTTGCAGGCCCCTCACTGTACTACAGCTCCTGGAATTCCATAGCATTGCAGGTTTTAGATGGGTTGGGGATCAGCTGGTTTTCCTTGTAATAGGCAGTAAGAGCACCTAGAGCTTCGGAGAGCTTCTGTTCAACCATCTCAAAGCTCCCTGCTTGAGCAGTAATGGCCCGATCACCAGCATAGATGAAACTCTCTGTTCCTTCTGCCAGTGGCTGGTCACCTATCTAAAACACAGACATGTGCTTTTCATCTCAAGAATAGAGAAGCCTCCCGAGCTCTGAGGATTACCTGGGAAGGAATCCCACTGGAGCATTGCAGTGCACCCAAATCCCTGGGAGTCACTCTGGACCGTGCTCTGACCTACAAGAAGCACTGCCTGAACATCAAGCAAAAAGTGGGTGTTAGAAACAATATGAAAGCTGACTGGCATGACCTGGGGATCACAACCAGATACAGTGAAGACATCTGCCCTTGCGCTATGCTACTCTGCTGCTGAGTACGCATGCCCAGTGTGGAACACATCTCACCACACTAAAACAGTGGATGTGGCTCTTAATGAGACATGCCGCATTATCACGGGGTGTCTGCGCCCTACACCACTGGAGAAATCACACTGCTTAGCTGGTATTGCACCACCTGACATCCGCCGGGAAGTAGTAAACAATAGTGAAAGGACCAAGGCAGAGACATCTCCAGCTCATCCCCTGTTTGGGTATCAGCCAGCACGTCAACCACTTAAATCAAGAATTAGTTTTTTAAGATCTACAGAAACACTCGCTGGAACACCTCAGCAAGCAAGAGTCCAAAAGTGGCAGGCTCAAACCCAGAACCTCAACCAGTGGCTGATACCAAATGAGAGACTTCCCTCTGGGCACACAGAGGACTGGGCGACTTGGAAGGTGCTGAACAGACTGCGCTCTGGCACCACGAGGTGCAGAGCCAATCTTAAGAAATGGGGCTACAAAGTGGAATCCACGACATGCGAGTGCGGAGAAGAGCAAACCACTGACCACCTGCTGCAATGCACCCTGAGCCCTGCCACATGCACTCAGCAACACCAGAGGCACTCCAAGTGGCCAGATACTGGTCAAAGGACATTTAATCCACTACCAAACTCGCAAATTTTGTGTTTTGTCTGTTATTTTGTTTTGTTCTGTTAGAAATGTAATACAATTGACTGGTTGCCCTGACATGACAAACAAACAAACAAACAAACAAACAAACAAACAAACAAATAGCATTAAGTCATGACAGGTAACATCATGTCAAACTGCAGTAATCCTATAGCGTCGATACATCCTCAGCTTTTAGTTGGATGGCGGGGGAGAAAAGCTGCGGATGGATCCATTTATTTTTCTTGTTCATTTAAAATACTCAAGTATAGCAAACTTCCTTGCAGTGCTTAAAACCACTGAAGACAGGTTGCTGTAAATAATGGTTTTTCTTTGCAGGTGTGAGAACAAGAAGATGTGGAAGGTTTTGGGAGTTCTAGTCTTCTGTGGCCTGCTGAGCCCAACTTTAGGAATACCTCCAGGCATTAGGGCTGCTGTAAATGATGTCAAACTGTCTCAAGGTAAGAAAGGGCATCCTAAGAGTGCTGACAATCTTTTCTCTGCCCACCCGTTGAGTGCAGGGAGTATTTGGGAGGCATGAAAAGGGGCTTGGAAGTGACGTGGTTGTTGCGTGCTTTGAAATAGGTTGGATTTATAGCAACCTTAAGGTGATCACTCGGGATCACTGGGTTTTCTGGGGCAGAGAATGTGTGGCGCACCCAGGATCACCCGCATTCCTAATTTCACAATGTGCTTCAGTGCGGTGAGTGTTTACAATGCATTTTGCATTCTGCAGGGCTGATTTTGCATTGCAACGTTGGTTTATATTTGGGACTCGCTGCAGTGCATTAAGAGGCTTATGTCAGACTTTTCCCCAACTTTGCTTGATGCCCCTCCCCGCCCACCCGCCCGCCCTTTAACCCATCCTGCAGTGCAATTTGGTGGTGTGCATCACTGAGTCACCACAGTGTAAAGCTGTTTTCAAACTGCATTCGTGTGTGTAACCTGATGTTTGTATACTTATGTACACAAAGATACAGAATGGGGGACAATGCCTGGCTCGAGAGCAGTACGTGTGAAAAAGATCTTGGAGTCCTCGTGGACAACAAGTTAAATATGAGCCAACAATGTGATGTGGTGGCAAAAAAAGCCAATGGGATTTTGGCCTGCATCAATAGGAGCATAGTGTCTAGATCTAGGGAAGTCATGCTACCCCTCTATTCTGCTTTGGTTAGACCACACCTGGAATATTGTGTCCAATTCTGGGCACCACAATTCAAGAGAGATATTGACAAGCTGGAATGTGTCCAAAGGAGAGTGACTAAAATGATCAAGGGTCTGGAGAACAAGCCCTATGAGGAGCGGCTTAAGGAGCTGGGCATGTTTAGCCTGAAGAAGAGAAGGCTGAGAGGAGATATGATAGCCATGTATAAATATGTGAGAGGAAGCCACAGGGAGGAGGGAGCAAGCTTGTTTTCTGCTTCCTTGGAGACTAGGACGTGGAACAATGGCTTCAAACAACAAGAGAGGAGATTCCATCTGAACATGAGGAAGAACTTCCTGACTGTGAGAGCCGTTCAGCAGTGGAACTCTCTGCCCCGGAGTGTGGTGGAGGCTCCTTCTTTGGAAGCTTTTAAACAGAGGCTGGATGGCCATCTGTCAGGGGTGATTTGAATGCAATATTCCTGCTTCTTGGCAGAATGGGGTTGGAATGGATGGCCCATGAGGTCTCTTCCAACTCTTTGATTCTAGGATTCTATGATTCTATGATCTGTACTATCTCATCTATCTCCTTCATGTGGTCTCAAAGATATTGTTTATGATTCAGTCCTTATAGATACTTGGACCAAAAATGGCCTTCTAGAGAATAATCTGAAAAACATTGGGTTTTCTGACATCCATCTTGGAGGACTGCTCAGTTTAGTTGACAAAGTTGTTGGGTAAGTAAAAAGAGAGATTTGCAAAGTGGATGGCTGCTGCTTGGTGTCTTTGAAGACCGCCCTTGTATGACAGTGATGCCTGGTTTTAGGATCAGGTAAATGTAGTAACCTACGGATGTGAGAGCTGGACCTTAGGGAAGGCTGAGCGAAGGAAGATCCATGCTTTTGAGCTGTGGTGTTGGAGGAAAGTGCTGAGAGTGCCTTGGACTGCGAGAAGATCCAACCAGTCCATCCTCCAGGAAATAAAGCCCGACTGCTCACTGGAGGGAAAGATACTAGAGACAAAGTTGAAGTACTTTGGCCACATCATGAGGAGACAGGAAAGCCTAGAGAAGACAATTATGCTGGGGAAAGTGGAAGGCAAAAGGAAGAGGGGCCGACCAAGGGCAAGATGGATGGATGGCATCCTTGAAGTGACTGGACTGACCTTGAGGGAGCTGGGGGTGGTAACGGCCGACAGGGAGCTCTGGCGTAGGCTGGTCCATGAGGTCACGAAGAGTCGGAGACGACTGAACGAATGAACAACAACAAAAATGTGGTGGGCCATGACATAATGGAGTCAGGGACTAGGCATTGGGAATATGGAAAACATCTTCAGCAATGCAGTTGGTACTAGGCAAAATGTTGTAAGCTATGATGCAGGGATTAGGTAAAATATTTTGAGCAATGATGCAATTACATTGGCATCAGATAATAATTTATTTATTTACTTCACTTGCATACCGCTTTTCTCACCCCAGCGGGGGACGCAAAGCGGTTTCCAACATCATTATGGCAAAATTTAATGCCTCACATATAGAAACCTAACATAACGATAATAACATACAATTATTAATGAAATCATAAGACACGACATCGTTTAACATTAAAAGGTGGACATTAATATGTTGCCAAGAATGCCACAAAACCATTGGTAAGGTCTTGTGAGCAATGGAAAAGTAACATTTGAAGGGAGTTGTTCAATGGGAAAGTACAGTGCGTGGTGGAGGCCCATTATTTGGAGGCTGTTCTGTCGCCGCTGGACCTGAAATGAAGTGCCTTTAAGAGAGGATGTGTGGCTTGAATCCAGCGGGAAGCCAGGGGCCCCAAAAAGGAGCCTTTAGAGAAATTTCCCACATTAAACAGTCTTTAGGAGGCTTGAGCTTAAATATAACAGTCTTTTATTGATGAACAAACAGGGATTGTAAAGCTTTCTTGGCAAAAAAACCAGTTCTCTCAAACTTGTCCACAGGGAACAGGCACTATCTCCAATAACTTTGTTCAAAGGAAAAATTCCCTTTCTAGCTCCTCCCAGGCTGCTGTGAACCTAAACCTGACTGATTTGAATCCACTACCGGCTGAACTGCGTCTCAGAACCGAGCAGACGTACCAGCAGGCCTGTAGTCACATAACTGGAGATCTTGACGATTAGAACTGTTATTACCTCCGGAATTCCTCAGGGCTGTAAGGCTGTTTCCCCAGAACCTTTGGGAATCTTTAGACGCTCTTAAGACTGTTCTCCTCCAGGAAGTCTTAAGGGATGAAGCCTTTGTACAGGAGGACGTCTGGATACATCATCTGCATAGACTTCCTTTGCTGAGGCTAACTGAAAAATGCCCCCTTCCCTCCAAAAACCCCAGAGAGGGGCGGGACCAGGGATCCTAACTATAATTGACAGGTGGCTTGCCCTATGAATGCAGCCAAAGGAAGCCACCTATCTACAAAGTCCCTACAACTTAGGACTATGAACAAACACTCAGTGCAAAACACAAAATTGGAGCCACCGGAACAGCCGTTCCAGGACAGAGGCTTTTAAACAGAGGCTGGATGGCCATTTGTTGGTGGTGCTTTCATTGTGCATTTCCTGCCTGGACAGAAGGAGATTAGACTGGATGGTCTATGTGGTGTCTCTGGATGTCTGCACAGCAGTTTGTATTCTGCAGAGCCCATTTCCCCATGTGATGTGGTTTATATTACACTGTTCTGATGCACGTTAAGGGCTTCATGTTGGAAGTTCCTGCAACTTTGCTCATTTTGGATTATTGAAAAGCGGTATGCAAGTGAAGCAAAGAGAAGGTTGAGAGGGGATATGATAGCCATGTATAAATATGTGAGAGGAAGCCACAGGGAGGAGGCGGGAGCAAGCTTGTTTTCTGGTTCCCTGGAGACTAGGATGCAATGGAACAATAGCTTCAAACTACAAGAGAGGAGATTCCATCTGAACATGAGGAAGAACTTCCTAACTGTGAGAGCCGTTCAGCAGTGGAACTCTCTGCCCCGGAGTGTGGTGGAGGCTCCTTCTTTGGAAGCTTTTAAACAGAGGCTGGATGGCCATCTGTCAGGGGTGATTTGAATGCAATATTCCTGCTTCTTGGCAGAATGGGGTTGGACTGGATGGCCCATGAGGTCTCTTCCAACTCTTTGATTCTATGATTCTATGATTCTATTGGGTATAAAAAACATCGCACAACATTTTCACGGCATATGTAGTCTAGCCACTGTGTATTGGAGATAGCTTGACACAGTATTAAAAAGTCAGTGTAGATGAGGTTCTTGTCAATTCCTTTGGCCACAAAATAACATTACAGCAACTCCAGTTTCATTCTGCTACCAAAGTTGTCTAAGTACATCCCTTTTCTCATTGAATTCAATCTCTTTCTTCAGGCTCAAAATTGATGAAGTTGCCCTCACTAGTTATACGCTGGTCTTCCTTAATGAGAAAGCAGAAGTGAGTTGGTCTCTTCATCTGGGAACTATCAGCAACATGTGAGTATTGTGAACCTACTTTCTGGTTGCAAAATAAACAGATTTTGTCACTGAAAGAGAAAATATAAGTCTTGGTCTTTAAGTCATGTTACAAGCATTTATAAGCATACACAGACTCGGGGTGTGTCTACATTGGCTGCTTATTCTGGAAAGAGTCCGGAGCATTATGCTCAGGTCAACCATGATGGTGGCCAGAAGCATCAAGCCAAATCAAGTGTGGTGTTGGGACTCAGCCTGTGATTGACGCATCTGAACCTGTGAATGTGTTTCAGTCTCCTGATGTTTCTGGGTCTGATGTGGGTCGTGAGGAGGGAAATCAGTTCCCTGTTGTTTCTGATGTGGGGGATGCTGGGACTGACTGCAAGGTGGAGACACTTTGGTCAATGAGTTTCATGCAAACACTGACAGAGAGGTTTCGGTACAAAGGTCAGATTCTCATGAGAATGCTTCTGTCAGGCCTTGGAAGAAAAATTTACTCCCTCCGTCTGTGAGGTTTCCAGATTCTAGTTTGGAAAACAGTCTGACACCTGCTAAAGTTAATGAGGAGTCAGAAATGCAGAGTCGGCGGCTGGAGATTAGCCAGAATCGACAAGAGGCCCAATGTTTACGTAGATCCGAAAGAATTCGTCAATTAAAGTCAAAGACTGCTGGAAAGCGAAACCAGTTTTTGGGATTTAAGGTTTGTCTGTAGAAAATCTTGTCAGATCAGGCAACGTTTGGAAACCAAGTATAGCCTCATGGAATCCCTGCTCAAGCGGTCTCACTTTCATGGTTCTTGCTTCTTGTGTGATTCCTGTCTGAATATCATTGCCTTGGATTATATGTTCATGTTTTTTGGATATTGTTTTTGATTGCTGCGTTTGGACACTCTTTTATCCGGCTGCCTTTGAATGCCTTATTGCTTTTTGGAACCTTATCTATCTTTGTAAGCATTTATTTCTACTGGTTTTTTTTTTGCTAAGCTTTAATAAAAAAGGATTGTTCCTTCACTCAACATGTAGTGAGTTTATAGTCAGAGGGGCTAATTCCTGTTCTGGAGTGCAACATGTGGCACCATGTTGTTGTCCACACCAACCAGTTGGACCGGTTGTATGTCACCTCCCCTGGTTCACCCTTTGTTTTTGATGCTGCTGCCACCACTTCTATAACACCTTTAAGAGTGTCATGGAAAGCTTGCTGGTCCACCATCACTTCTCCTGAGATCACAAATGGAAGCTCAGATATGGGATCGAAAGGGAGAGATTGTTCCTTCACATAGAGAAGGAGGAGGGCATGATTTCTTCCCTTGCCTGGCCAAACTGGACCTGACGCAGTTGTTTTAGGACAGTGATTAGTATCTATTTGTGTATTTTCTTGCTTTTTGTCTTTGACTGTTGATATGGTCAGTGGACTAATCAATACACTTTACTACCTTGACATTTGGGAGTTGTAGTTGCTGGGATTTATAGTTCACCTACAATCGAAGAGCATTCCGAATTCCACCAATGATGTAAGTGAATCAAACGTGGTACACAGAGCTCCCCTGACCAACAGGAAATACTGGAAGGGGTTGGTGGGCATTGACCTTGAGTTGTGAAGTTGTAGTTCACCTACATCCAGAAAGTATGGAGAACTATGGATCTGGACCAAATTTGGCATGAATACTCAATGTGCCCAAATGTGAACACTGGTGGAGTTTGGGGAAAATAGACCTTGACATTTGGGAGTTGTAGTTGCTGGGATTTATAGCTCACCTACAATCAAAGAGCATTCTGAACTCCACCAACGATGGAATTAAACCCAACTTAGCACACAGAATTCCAATGACCAACAGAAAATACTGGAAGGGTTGGGTGGCCATTGACCTTGAGTTTTGGAGTTGTAGTTGACCTACATCCAGAGAGCACTGTGGACTCAAACAAACTCAAACTGTGGAAATACTGGAAGGGTTTCGTGGGCATTGACCTTGAGCTTGGGAGTTGTAGTTCACCTACATCCAGAGGAGTGCTGTGGATTCATGCAATGATGGATCTGGACCAAACTTGGCACGAATACTCAATATGCCCAAATGTGAACACTGGTGGGGTTTGGGGAAAATAGATCTAGACATTTGGGAGTGGTAGTTGCTGGGATGTATAGTTAACCTACAATCAAAGTGCATTCTGAACCCCACCAATGATAGAATTGGGCCAAACTTCCCACACAGAACCCCCACGACCAACAGAAAATACTGTGTGTTTCTGATGGTCTTTGGTGACCCTTCTGACACCCTCTCGTGACCCCCAAGTTGAGAAACGCTGGTCTACAGCTATCAATTATCTCATTGCTCTAAGTTGGCTATACAGATGTCCATTAGCTCTTTATAATTCTAACGGAGAGGAAGGCACATGTGGGATCTTAACGATGGCACAACTATAGTCTCTTGTTCTCTTGAAATGCAAAGATACAGAATGGGGGACAATGCCTGGCTCGAGAGCAGTACGTGTGAAAAAGATCTTGGAGTCCTCGTGGACAACAAGTTAAACATGAGCCAACAATGTGATGTGGCGGCAAAAAAAGCCAATGGGATTTTGGCCTGCATCAAGAGGAGCATAGTGTCTAGGTCCATGGAAGTCATGCTCCCCATGCTCTATTCTGCCTTGGTTAGACCACATCTGGAATATTGTGTCCAACTCTGGGCACCACAATTCAAGAGAGATATTGACAAGCTGGAATGTGTCCAGAAGAGGGCGTCTAAAATGATCAAGGGTCTGGAGAACAAGCCCTATGAGGAGCGGCTTAGGGAAGCTGGGCATGTTTAGCCTGAAGAAGAGAAGGCTGAGAGGAGATGTGATAGCCATGTATAAATATGTGAGAGGAAGCCACAGGGAGGAGGGAGCAAGCTTGTTTTCTGCTTCCTTGGAGACTAGGATGCGGAACAATGGCTTCAAACTACAAGAGAGGAGATTCCATCTGAACATTAGGAAGAACTTCCTGACTGTGAGAGCCGTTCAGCAGTGGAACTCTCTGCCCCGGAGTGTGGTGGAGGCTCCTTCTTTGGAAGCTTTTAAGCAGAGGCTGGATGGCCATCTGTCAGGGGTGATTTGAATGCAATATTCCTGCTTCTTGGCAGGGGGTTGGACTGGATGGCCCATGAGGTCTCTTCCAACTCTTTGATTCTATGATTCTATGATTCTCTGGCCATGAACACTCATTTGGAAAGTATTTCTAGGTTGGTACTTCAGGCGGCTGGAAAATTAAGGGAGTATTAGGGAGTCCTTTCTGTCCTACTCTGGTCCCTGGCAGCGCTTTCTCTACACACCAGCATTTTTGCAAATAAAAGATCCTCTGCAAAAGCAGGCAGGTGGGATTATCAATCCTTGGGAGCATCCATGAAAATCTCAATACAATTCCAACATGACTTTATGTATCACTGCATTATGTGGTTCTTTAGTCTAACTTAAATGCAATTCTGGCATGACTTGAATTAATACAATCTGGATGTGACGTGAATCTCTGTACATCTTCCTATTGCTTCCTTCCAGTGCTAAACCCTAACTGACAAATCCCAAGTGACAAAATAATGGACATTCCAAAGCCAGTAGGAGCCGATCCTTCCCAGATCCTTAAAGGGACAGGACGTTAGATTAGAGCTTCTGGTGACATGACACTCCCATCTAAAACTTACTAATAAGTTTTGCCCCTTATTAATAACAAAATAATAACTAACTAATACAAGTATTGGGGGCCCCGGTGGCGCAGTGGGTTAAAGCACTGAGCTGCTGAGTTTGTTGATCGAAAGGTCGCAGGTTCGACTCTGGGGAGCGGCGTGAGCTTCCGCTGTCAGCCCTAGCTTCTGCCAACCTAGCAGTTCGAAAACATGCAAATGTGAGTAGATGAATAGGTACCGCTCCGGCGGGAAGGTAACGGCGCTCCATGCAGTCATGCCGGCCACATGACCTTGGAGGTGTCTGCGGACAACGCTGTCTCTTTAGCTTAGAAATTGAGATGAGCACCACACCCCAGAGTCAGACATGACTGGACTTAATGTCAGGGGACTACCTTTACCTTTTTAATACAAGTATTGACTGATGTAATACAGATTAGAACTATTCTAATTTATGGGTTCATCCCTGTAAAACAACAAGACAAGATCCGTGGATTGTTTTTTTTTTTAATTATTATTTTTTAGGATCATCCCTTTATTCAGTCTCTTGATGTTTGCAAGACATATATAATCCCAGTTATCCATGCAAAGCAATGGAAGCAGCTCAGGAGGTGGCCACTTGGGTCAGAGGATCCTCCTAGTACTGTACCAAGGCTTGAGCATCCCAAAGCCCACTGTCTCTTTGGTTCATATTCCATCTGAACATGAGGAAGAACTTCCTGACTGTGAGAGCCGTTCAGCAGTGGAACTCTCTGCCACGGAGTGTGGTGGAGGCTCCTTCTTTGGAAGCTTTTAAACAGAGGCTGGATGGCCATCTGTCAGGGGTGCTTTGAATGCAATTTTCCTGCTTCTTGGCAGAATGGGGTTGGACTGGATGGCCCGTGAGGTCTCTTCCAACTCTTTGATTCTATGATTCTTTGGCTTACATGCACAGCAGCAGGTTGGCCACCCGCGTAATGGCCATCCGACCCTCCATTCAGTCCATGAGGATGAAGCAGAGGTGGTGGCCATTCTTGTTGTAAGGATTTTGCGAGAGCAAACTAAGCCAGCACGAGCGATGCTCCACCTCTTTCTCTGCCTATTTCCCTTTGCTAGGGCAGCGTTGCGAGCATACGCTCGTGCCGCAGCAAACTACAGGAAGCTTGCGCTCGGGCTTGCTCCGAAGCCCCGCCTTTTTCCCCCCGAGGCTGCTCTCTCTCTTGCTAGCGTGCCTGTTTTCCATTGCAGAGGGCAGGGATGCGAGCGTACGCTCACAGTTGAATTCTGCCAACTGCGAGAGTACACTCGCATCGCTTCCCTAGCAAGGGAAAACAGGCACACTAGCAAGAGAGAGAGCAGCCTCGGGGGAAAAAAGGCGGGCTTCAGAGTGAGCTCG